GAAAGGAATTTTAAATGGCCTGCTGTATCTGCCGCGGCTGTGATGTGCTCTCTGAATGAATTAGAGAGAGCAAATGGAATTATTCAGTGATAGGAGGGATGGTAATCGTTTTTATTCACAGGCACAGAGAGGAGCACCGCCGAGACGTATAGGCTGAGAAACGTGTTCTTAAAAACCCACATGATCTCCTCCTCCACGGTACACTGTTTCACCGCCAACTGTCACTGGGATACACAGATGATGCTGAAACACTGTGGATGCCATTGATATTTGCCATTTTTCTAAGCTGGATTACAAAAAAAAAAAATTAAAATAATCGCTTAATTATATTAGACACAATACAATTTACATTGTACACAAATATCCTGATCTACTCAAGAACAAAGAGTTAATTTGCCACAGGGAGAGAACATCTCTCACACAGAATAATGAGCGAGTGCTATAAAAAAAAGGTAATAAACATTAAAATAAATAAATCTGACTGAAAGAGATAATTATTTTTGTTTGTTTTGGAAATCCTCAATAACATCCTTTTACCGTTCACCAAACCAATACAGATAATTAAAGAAAAATTATTTTAGAAAATTATAAATTATAAAATAAAATTAGGCGTTGTGTGAAAGTGTCCAACCGCTACTCGTTGAATTTCCCTAATGTCAATGGAAAAGTCCTGCCATATATTTCATACCAGAGGAGCATGATAGAGTGAGCTCCTCGGTTGATCACATCCTTCTAAAACATTCTTTGAAGTTAATGATGGGGCGTGGGTAATAGATGCCGGCTTTTTTTAAATTTCTCCCATGAAATACTGTACAGAAAAAACTGGGTCAGAACTTGTAAACTAATGGTACAAGTTTCTTGTTGTGAAGTGAAATTCCTGCCTATTTTATGATTTCATAAAGGACTTCAGTGGCTCAGAAGTTCTTGGTTAAATTTTTCAGATTCTCCTCTTTATGATGTTTTGGGAAACAGTAAGAAAGAAAATCTGTTAAACGTGGACGATGACTGGTGATCGTCCACGTTTGGACCTCAGTTAACCAGGTTTTGAGCAAGTATTGTTTGTGTCTTGGCAGTAAACTACCACGTCAGAGCAGAACTGATCAAACTGGTTAGAATATTCGTGGCATTTGATGAAAAGTGGTGCAAGAAAATGTTTCTTCCTCGAGTCTGTCTCTTTTACTGTTATTAGCATGCAGACCGTCCTGGACTAACACTCGGAGGCGGAGAAGCGACGCCACATCAGTACCTTAGAGTGAGGATCAGTCTCCTCTTCCTGATTGGAGCTGGAGGGGGAGGGTGTGGCCGATTTACTTCCAGGAGGTGAGGGGGAGCCATGAGGCAGCACGCCCCGGCTGACCTGAGAATTTAGCTGGGACAGAGCGCTCATGGGGTTGGGCAGTATCGGAGGAGAGCTGTTTATCAGGGAGTGGTGGTTACGGGCCGCTTCGTAATGAGCGCCGTCCGGATGCTGGTGATGGTGTTGCTGTTGGCGGTGTTGCAAAGCCATCTCCTGCATCTGGGGTGAGAGAAGAACACCAGCTTTACTATTGTCTCCTCCACTCAGAGTTTTGAGCCAATCAGCCAAATACGCAGCTTTATTTAAAGAAGAAATTAGTGAAAAGAAACACCACCCAGTGGTTGGAGGTCAGTGGTGCTGTTCACACATCTACATCTAGGAATACTGTTTAACAAGAACTTCTTCAATTACAGCATTGGTTCTCAATTATTTGCTGTCATGGCCCCCTCCCCATGAATTAAAATACTATTGGGAACCTGATCATTTGTATGTTCTCATCTGTACAAACCACATGAGTTGAGTATGAGTTGGTGCCACCTAGTGACTGCAGGCTTGTTTATCGTTCAAGCATTACAGCAGCGGCTCACTTCTGTCCATATGTGCCATATTCCATTGGCAGCGTATCACGCCCAACCTCCCTCACCTCTGCGACACCTCACCCCACCCCACTGGGGGGCCCGCCCCACTATTTGAGAAGTACTGATGTAGTACTAAGAAGTACAGGTGAACAAAGTTGACATTCAAGGCTAACAAGACAATAAAGAAACATGTTTCTAGCGCAGATCTAACCAGACCATTCGTAGCGGATCGGCACTTAGTGAAAGGGGAAGAGTTTTTTTTATTTCTTGTCTTCCATAATCTGTCCATCACGGGACCAGGAAAAAGCACTCAAGTCTCTATAATTGATTTGAAGTTGGTCAAATGTAGGGAACATCAGTCAATTTATGGCAGTTAATTTCTTTTACTTTAAAAAAAAAACTTTTTTACGTTTTTCCAGTGAGTGACATGACCTGAACGTATTAAAATGTCAAAGATGATAATAGCTGGACTATTTCTTTAAATGCTAAAGTGATTTTTCTGTGTCCTTCAGCACAGAACAGACTGGACGGCATTTATGAACGATGGAATGATAATGCTGCAACCCATTTCTCATATGTTTCCTATAGCAGAGCTGTAGAGACAGCTGAGGTTTTATCTTCTGCCTAATGAAGGAGAACATTATGTGTTATTTATTTTCTTTAGAAGCCAAAAATATTGATGTTAAAATCAGTGTATGTATGGTGTTTATTGTGAATCTAATATGTGCCTTGTGTATAATGTTGGGTTGTGTTTAAGATTCATTTATTAGAATTAAATAAAAGTTACCTAAGATTTGTAAATATTGAACACAATCCAGCCCAGTAGGTGGTGGTAATGCACCTAAAGTTAGGTGCATTCAAAATGATTGGCCTCTAATTTTCATAGAACTCTTTCACTTAGTCTCATATCTAAAAATTCACATTTCAGATGCTTTCGGGTTTAAAACGTTTCAACAAAAAACAAAAAAAAACAAAACAAAACGTTTAAAACGTTTCAACAAAAAACTAAAAAAAAAAACCCAAAACAAAACAAAGAACATTTGGAAGTTTACCGTCTTGTTCATGAAGAACTTCGCAACACAAACGTAAACAAATATTCTATAGCTTACGAAAGTGACCCTCACATTGTAAACACCCTTTTACTAACTGCAGGATGAGACACCGACTGCTCCCGGAAGCCTTTTAAGATCTTCAATAATAACAACATCAAAAGCTTTTGCCCGAGATTCATCAGGATACAACATAAGCAGGGGCCAAAGGATGCTTTTAATGCAGGCGTAAATGGGAATGTTTGGCAATTTACAGATCACAAAGTGATGAAGCAGCATTTGTTGGCTCTTTTAAACATTTATAAGTTAAATAATACATTACACATAAGTGCAGGGCAAAAAAAGGAGAGAAAACATCCCATGGAAAAGGTCTGAACATATGAGTCTGGATAAACACGAGTAAAAGTACGGAGATGAAGTCTCTCTAATCATAATTGGTCCCGGTAGACTCTGAGAATAAAATGCACTACAAAATAATCTTCTACGTGGCTGTGGCCTGCTTTTAAAAATGATAATACTCACATTATATTCTGCGCTTCAGCAGCTGCTCACACAAGCCAGCCACGAACAAAGGCATTTCTTTTGCATTTCAAATAACCACATCGTACCCTTCCCCCAGACTCGGCATCTCCAACTCCCGATCTGAATTCAAAAGACTATATTTTTTAAATACATGAGGAAATAACTCCAGTAAAATGAGAAGCAACAGGGAAAAAAAGTGCTTTAATCAAAGGGGAAAATGAAGAGGGGCGCAGAAAGACATAAGAATTCATTAATTTTGCATTTTCCATGGACGTGCTCTTTAAGGGTCCTCTCCTCACAAACCGAGAGGCATTGAAGAACCAATTAATCAAACGTAATTGGCCTATCATATAGACGGCAGGCACATTTCCATAGCAACGGCCGGAGTCACAACATCCTTAATATAAGTAAGAGAAAACATGCAGTGAATTTAAATTCAATAATCAGGAAAAAGATTTTATAAATATGGAAATAATGAGTTGTGTGCAAAAAAAAAAAAAAAAACTGCGTTATTTGGTTTCTACCCACATACTGTATAATTAAAACTCAATACAGGACAAAACCAAAGCACTGTTGGTACTAACAGTGAGAAGAACAACCACATACTGCTACTACATAGACTGAGAACACCGTAACGGTGGCCAATGTGACCCTGGCTGAGATACTTCACCTTATCATGTACAACAGTGTAGCCAATGTGGCTGTGTTCCCTACTGCAACACAGTACTTTCTAATGCTATACTGATTCAGCTAACATTCAGAAGCAGATCCCACCTTTGACCTCTACTCACTCCCTTACCCCTCCTTACTCTGTGAAACTTTACTCTGCACTATTAGCACAATTTTTTTTTGTTTTGCAAATGTATCACTGAATTTTAGTTGAACCACATGTCTCCGTAGGTCATCCACATCATATGTATCTGTATCTGTATCTGATCAGTTTTAAAAAAGTCAACTGGACCGGCTCGGTTTCTAGAAGATGTTTCACCTCTCAACCAATAGGCTTCTTCAGTTCTAACTGGCTGCTGGAAAATTGTGGAATTCAGCCTCAGAGCGGCGTTTTACACCACACTG